TTTATAGCTGGGTTATGCAAAATACTGAGCACCCTCAGCTTGTATTAATGGCCAGGGCAGCTGGAGGGGCCTGGTTCCTCCCAGGAGGTGCACGGCTCTTGGGAGTAAGGGACCTTCTTAGCTGAATTCTCCACCTCAGCTCTTGGTTTGGAGATGTCCTGGTCATCAGTGTTCAGCTCCTTTGGGATCAGCCTGCAGTCACCCTCCTTAGGCCTGAAGTCAGACCTTCCCTCTTTGCAGGAAATGGATGCAGTGCCGAGGAACTCGGGTGATGCAATTGTGTGACTGTAGCAATCCCACTAACAATGGCCGTGTTGGAACACACGTCTCTGTGTTGCACTGAGGCAGAAAGGAGATAAGATCATCTCAGTGCTCAGTAGAAAATGCTCACTAAAAGCTGAACAGTTCCAGATGCTGGGCAGCCTCTCTTTAATTTAACATGGCTGCAGTGTAGCAGCAGTGGGTGAGCCCTCCAGCCAGCCCTGATCCCCACTGCCCCTTGAACACAGCCCTCCCAGAATTATCAAACAGGGCTCCTTCTCCTTCCTGTGAGCTTTCTTTTGAAATGGCAAAAGAAGCATTTTTAAATTTATCCATATGGACTCTGAGATGAGGCTGGCAAGTGTATGAAAGTCAGTCAGATTTAAAGAGCCACCAGAGGAGTACAAAAGGGGATATCCCACTATTGGGAAAATTCATTAGGAGGAATTCCTCCACAGTCATTATTTATCAGTTTAAAGTCAGTGAGACCAAGCTCTTTCTTATTTCAGGGCTGTTTGTGTTGTGAAGAGTACAATCACCTATTCTTAACTTCTGGTTGTTACTGCACACTCTAGGTGGATCTAGTTACAAAGCAATAATTTAGACAACATGCCACATGAGTTAGTTCATCCTTGCCTTAAAAGTTCCTGGATTCCTGCTGAACCTTAGCTTTGACCTTCTCTGAATAGAAACAGGAGATAGTGACTTCAAAGCTGATACATTTCCTGGGTAACAGAGTGCACGACCAAGTTTCTGTTAGCCCATATTAAAATAAATTTTCAGCAGTTAATTCCAATAGTATTTCATTTTATATTTTAGTGCTACAAATGACAGGGTTCCTTTGTATAATATTGTAACTTTGATTTCACGTGATGATTTTCTGTGTTTTGAACAAAAGATTTTTCATTTCAGCCTATGAAATACTGTCATTTGAAAAAAAAAATTAATCTCCAAGGAATTGCTGCTTTAAAAAAATGGAAACCTTATACCAGCTCCCTCTAAATTCTTTTATTTCTTAAACAATGCTGTCTTTTTATGTAAGCAATACACATGCCACACACTTACATGAAAAATATGATGTGTATAGTGCACTTCATTTATTTCTTGACATAACAACATAAGTTGAAAAAACACAGCAGTTTGTAGGAATTAAGTTAGGACATAAAACAGACTATTTATGTCAAGAGAAGGAGACAATTTGCATTAAAAACAGGGAGACAACGACTCTCTACATAGTTCATGCAAATCTTATGTGAACTTTATAAAAACATGAGAGGGACTCACTGCAGCCATGTGACAAAGCACAGAGCATTGTCACCTCGGGACAGTCACACCAACAGTACAGAATTTCATTGTGGAGAAACCCAAATTCTGAATCTGAATCTCATAAGTGCACAAACATCATTGCTTATGGAAAGTCTGGATGTGAAAGTGCCTCACCACCTCCTGTGATCCAGGAAGGGTCTAGGGCAGCACTCCCTGGCAGCACAGTTTCATTCCCACTTTCTGCAAAGGGAGGAATTCAGTTAGTGCAGGACTTCAGCAGGCACTGGTAGGAGTTATAGCACTGTACTGAACAAAACATATTGTCTGCCTGAAATCACAACAGAATTTCAGGACGAGCAGGCTGGCATGAAATAAATATTTGAGGTTCAGTCCACTTCAGGCGATTGGCCCAAAATAATAGATGATGGTTAAAAATGATATTTGGTTTCCAAATACCCATCCAAATGCATTTTACTTGGCAAATTGACTGAACAGTCATTTTTAGAATTTTATGCCATTAAAATCAGAGGTCAGATAAAGTGTAACTATCCAAACATCAGACTAATTATTGCTACCCAGTGTCTGTCAAGGCCTTTGTTCTTTGTCAAGATGCCTGCACACTTTAGCATAAATACTGTAACTCTCCTTCCCTAACATCCCTCTTTTCCTTCACCCCAACCCACACACAGAGTGGCATTTAAATAAGATTCTTCACACTGTGTCATAAATATTAATGACATGAAACTCAGAGCTTGGCATTTTTCAGTAATGGCCCTCTTCATCACAGTTTCACCCCTGGACTGCAGCCAGCCCCTGTGTAACTGCTTGACATTCTTTAAAAGCATATTACTATCAAAATGAAATAAAATACTGTGACAATTTCTCACAAATTAAAATTGTTGGAAGATCCTCTCTCCACATTGTGTGCTTGGGATGTCATTTGGCATGACTTCCTGAACAATGCCTGTGTTAGTTTGGCATGGTTTGTCTTGGAATTACAGTTTATGTCTTTCACCTAATCCCTATAATAGCTCCAAATGAGCTGTGAATGGACAGTTGATATAAAACTCAGCCTTGTTTAAACAAATTATATATATTAGTACTTATTTCCCTACAATCTAACTTTTCTATGAAGCTTCCAGAAAATCTCCATAGAAAGATTAATACCATTGTTGGCATTTCTTAGTTCCTCTGGTTATTTGCATCATTTCTGTCCTTTCAGTCTGAGCTGTACCAGTCATCTGAAACTGTAAATTAAACAACAAACAATGTTTTGGAGCTATTTATGGCAGTGTTCAAGATTTAATTTTCTGTTTTCTTTCTGCCTGAATGAAATACATACAGCTCAGTCTCTCCATACAAGATAAGGAGCCTTCTGAACAAGCTGCCAGCCACTGACACAGTTCCTGAAACAGCAAGTATGTGTTTGCTTCTTCTTAACCTTCATTTTATACCTGAGTTAGGATCACAATGTTCACATCCCACAGGCTTGAGCCTTTCAGTTTCTAGATCATCACTGAAAAACTGATGTTTCACTTAAACAATTGGGTGAATGAGAACAATAATAATTTGTCTTTTGCCTTCAGCAGAAAGTAAAAGGTGATTAGGCAGAAAAATACTCTGGGCTCATTGAAATCACATGTATTTCACAGTATGGTGTGTGCAGAACTTTTCATGCTTTGAATTAAACAGGATAAAGAGCAAACAGAACCATGAGATTGTAGGGCTGGAAGGAATAAGAAATCACCTGATACAAGGCAAAAGCAGCAACCTTTGGGTGCTTCCTGGCAGACATTTGTCAGCCTGCCTTGAAATGTTCAGTATGGATGCACAAAACTTCAGTCAGATCTTTCTGCTGTTCATGGCCCTTTCGTTACAAAATGTTTCTGATGATGTAACCTGAATCTTTCTTGAATTTTATCTTGTTACTTCTGCAGACACATAAAATACCCTTCTACATGTCTGAGAGACTGTTATCAAGGCTTTCCTCTGTCTGTTTGGCTAGATATCCCACTTTTCCAATATTTTACCCTGATTCATAATTTATAGATCACTTCATCATTTTTATTGCTGTGTTTGGGACTGTCTGTGAGCAGTCCATAGAAGTGTGGTCCATGACACAGCCACAGCAATCCAGCTCAAGCCTTATCAGTGCTGCTCTAGCAAAAGAGTTCCTCTGCAAATTTGTCTGCTATCCACATTCCAGAATGACACTCTGTGTTGGTAGCAGCGTGACGTTGTTAACTCCCATCCTGTCTGCTCTCAGCTGTCATTTCTATGCTCTTTTCTATCTGAATTTCTCCCTCTTCAGCTATTCCACATTTTCTGTCTGTGCAGTTCATTATTCCTGAGCATGGTGCTTACACTTGTAGGAGTCAATAAAAAGTTTTCCATTTGTATCTCCAGTTTGTCACAACTATGTGGAATCCTATTCTTGACCTCCAAAGTACTGGCAATATACCAGACTTCATTTGTCTCTAAGTGAAACCAGCCTCCTCTGTGATGTGACCTTGGGGTGAGGAGGGAAAGCACTGAATAACACTGGGACAGACCCCAGTGGAACATCCATTTGATACATCCTCCCATTTGATAAGGAGCATAACTGGTCAGCTCTGCACTCACATTGGACATCCTTTCTCCCTAATTTGCTATGACATGAGGCAGTATTACAGACATAACACCAATGAATGCTAAATCTCAGAGATTCATAGTTTTACTTTCCACTTTATTTCTAAATAATACCATTTTGGAAAAAATTGCTCAAGATGCAGTAAACAGGGGAATCTTTGAAAGCACACATTTAAAATAACATATTTTATATTGATTTGTTTCTTCTTCAACATATAGAATTAAAATACCAAGAAATGTTCTTTTGTTCTGAATGTTCTGGTGGTGCTTACTATAAGCTTGTGCATTTAAAAAGTCTGTGTAATTTAATGGATGGGTACCAAATGCGACTACTGTACGAAGACAAACTCATGATATACTTCAAATTCAGGTAAGTATTTGAGTTTTAGAAACTTGGAGCATTTGCTGACTGGATTTCATCCACTCTGAAGTCTCCAGCCATCCAGTAAATTCAAGGTCAGTATGAGAATGCTGGGATCCAGAATGCAAGTTTTTTTAACATCTCTGAAAATTTACCAGTGTTTGCACTTGGTTTTTTGGTTTGCCCCCTGCTACTCACATCTTTGTTTTAACATGTAAAGTGTTGGGACTTTTTTTTGTTTTTGTTTCAAGTGCAGTTATGTAGAGGTGTTCATCAGATATATGCCCAACTGTACATAAGATGGTAATGGACCAGTCCTAAACTTTGGTATGGGCTGTGGTGTTCTCCTGTTGTTCAAGGACTTGAAGTATTTTATAAATTTGTACTTTAAATTTATACATGTACTCAGAGATATGGAATGCTTTGATTCTTAATTTAGAACATTCATACCATGCTTTGATTCTGGAAAACAAAGGCAGCTCACCTAGGAGTTCACAACTCGGAAGGGCTGTTTCCTTTCATTGCTGTCACCATTAGGATTTCCTATGCAACAGGAGCCCAAGTGTGAAGTGCAAAACTCCAAGTGTTCTGTAGGGTGGAAGCAGAACTATTGCTATAGTCAATTCTTTTGGAAGCAGAAGGAGTGAAGGATTGTCTGGCTGAAGTAAGAAATGCAAGGAAAAACCTGTGGTGTCTGTTTTTAAGGATACCGTGGAATAACAGTGGAACAAAGTTTGACTTGTAAGGAAATTGCCACTTTTGGATGATAAAATATTCCATTATAAAGGGATCACAGCTCTCTGCATTTCCATGGTACTTAGTTTCCTGAAACCCTAAACCCTTTCTAAATGTTAACTAATTCACTTTTTAATTCTTCCTTTAGGGAAAAATAGTACTTTCAGACCTTTTTTGACAGATGTTGAAACTTTGTCTCTGGAGGATGGAGTTGTATACCCCAGTTCAAAGCAGAAACAGAGATCTCAGCTCCAGGTTGTCTCCTATATGAGTATCAGGTTTATTCCTACAAGTTGGCAAGGACTTAGAACAGCCAAGAGGTGAAGGAGTCCTGGACTTTGTACAAATACCTCATGGCCCTTTTACAAGTAATACTTATGTTTCTGTTCTGCAGAGAGATTTTGGAATGATATTGAGTGACCTAAACTAAATTTGTGTAGAACTTGATCTACTGTCTTAACAGTAGATGTTTTCCTGGTGCTCACCCAGGAAAATCCTTGTGCCAATGGGTAAATTAGCAGCACTGTTCCCATTACACAGGTGTCACAAGCTGAGCTGGTGAGCTCTGCACTTCCAGCACAAGTGAGCTGGCTCTGTTACCATCCTTCTTGTGATGCTCTGGCAAGGAAGAACTCTTTTAATCTGGACTTTTTTATTTCCAAGTTATTTGTTCAAACCTTGAACTTGAAAACTATTCCTGTATTGAAGGCTAGGCTGTCAGTGTGGAGCTGATACCTGATGAGTGTCTTGAGGGCCAAGGTATGCTGATGAAACACAAACTTGAAGCCAGTCAGATTTATATCTGTTAGCCTGCAGCTCACTGCAGTTTGTTTGAGCTGAGATCTGTGTGCTCCCAGTGAGGCTGGAACAGAGTTCTGGGTAAGCACGGGTGGAGTTTTGGTATTTGGGTTTGTTTCTAGTGCTTGCTGTTATGGCCCTACAAGATTGCTGGAAGGCCAAGGCCAGTGCTGTGGCATCCACATAGAGGTGGTTTCAGAGAACAGTGTGTGTGTGCAAGGAGCTGTGGCTTGGCATCCATCCCGATTTACTTCCACAAGTAGGAGTTAAAGATGAGATCTTCTTGTGTGGCTGCATAAAATACATATCCTGCCTTACAGCTGAGGACACATGCACAGCCTTAATCACAAATCTTCACCAAGAAACTGTTTCTAAATAAGTGGATAAGTGTTGGCCAATTGTTTATCACTTTTTTACTGCTGGTATATTTTACGGGAGACTGGATGATGGGAGCAATGCAACAGAATTACAGGAAAATATTCCCCCTTTTCCCAGCAAATGCTTGCACTCATTTTTATTTGCTTGTTGTGACAATATGTTTGCAGAAAGTGACTGTTGGACTTGAAATTGAGATTAATTTAATCATGAGATGGAGTATATTTGAAACAAATTTAGTCCAGAAGGCTATCCGGTCAGGAAGAGGAAACAATATCAAGGAAGTTGAGCAAACAACTCAGATACTGAATTGTGAATATTGAGCACTCAGAAAAATTTCATATGGGCTGACACTGGTTATCTTTTTGAAGCAAAGAGAAACTTTCTGAAGTCTAAAGTCTGGGTGGTATATTGACCAACAATTCCCCAGTATAAAATTCAGCTGACTTCACTGCCCCTCTGTTCTCAGTCATGCACACTTCAGAGAGTATTCCAGTCAAAATAATTGTTTCTGTAAAATAAATTACTACGTTGCTAAGTAAAGAATAAAAACCTCTTTTTTTTGACACAACTTTTGTTTTAGCTTTAACCATAGAAGTATCCAATTTTCTCATTTTTATATAAATGAAACTCAAAAAGGCAATCTTCATGTTGCATATTCCCTTGGTCTATCTTGCAAAAACCATTAGGGGCCAACTTTTCCACAAAAAAGAATGCAAAATGCTGTCTGCTTGTAAGTTTGTGATTCATACCTCCTGTCAAGACTACTAAACCAGTAAAAACACTGGAATGTAAAAAAATAAGCATGATTATGTATTTCAGGAAAACAATTTTCTCAAGAATGTTTCTGGAACAAATTTTCAGTGTTTAGCTATTTCTAGTTGATATTTCAGTGATGGAATGCCTACTGGCACCAATTTGTACTATGGAATTGTCCCACAGGACAATACTTTGCTATAGTGTGTTTAAGGTGTCTTTTTTTTCAGATTCTTGTAACAGCAAATCCTTTAGCAGCTCATTACTTAATGGAAACTAAACAAAGCTTCTTCCAGGAAAAAAAATGTTGATCTCTATCACCCCACAGTGAACTTCTCTCCTTAAATACATAACACATGCTTTTGGAAAATATCCTCAGTTTAATCTGAGCAGTGTAAACTCCAAAGACAAGACCACGTCCTCATTCATCCATCTTGCATAGCTCAAAACTCCAAACTTTCTGGGAAAAAGAAAAGGAAGCATAGAAGATACTTTTTGTGTATACACATCTCCTTGTGTGATATGACTAGACTTTTGTCTGTCATTCCTATTAAAAATTGCCACCTACACAAATGAGAACTCAGGGGTAGGCTCTTATAAATAGGGATCCTAGAGGCCCTGGCTGACCTTCTTTGCTCTCTGCTAGCAGATATTTCTTGGGGTGTTTTTCCATTTCCTATGGAAACTCTTTCTGCTTTTTACCGTGCAGAAAGCACAGGGCTGGCTGCTCCCTCCATAGATCATGACTTTATTCCTGTGTCTCTTTCTGCCAGAGTTGCTGTTCCACAGCTTTTCTGTTCCCCTGGAACTACATGACCACTTGTATTAATTGGGCCAAAAGAAGTAAAGAGTGTCATTTAGGTGCAGAAGCCATTGATTTAGCACCTAATAAATTATTAATAGGTTTTGAAAAATATACAATCATGATTGTGAGCTTTGACCATGAATATCATATACCTCATGTACTATCTCAATTCATTTGGAGCAACACTGGATCAGGAGCAAAGATGTTTATAACATTTTACTGCTGCTGTCACTTGCAGAGATGCAGTACACTGTTTTAGTGGATCCATGCTGGAGATCCATTCCACACTGGCATTGGTTTATGCTTTTTGCCAAAAAAAAAAATAAAAAAAATTGCCAGTCTTTCAGCAGGAAAATGTTTGTGCCTGGAGTTGAGCAACCATAAAATATAATGCCACGATTCTCATGGAACAATGTATAAAAGAAAAGGGCAATTTATTTTGCAGATGTATTTTGGAAACATGCTTTCAAAATGTTTGTCCTTTCAAAGCATTAATTACAAAATTTTATACCTAGTCATTACTGTTCTGACTTTACACTGTAGGAAGACATCTTGCTCCTGTTGTCCTTACTGTATCAGTGAGCTGTTCCCTCAGGAGAAGTCTCAGCATGTGGAAAAGAAACCGTTCCTGAAATCAGTGAACTCTATTTTAAACTGGCAAAGCAAGTTGCTCCTGCTTCTCCTCCAACTTAACCCGTAATTCCTGGAAGTATACAGTTCCCAGATATAAATGTAGAAAACCTAAAATTAAAAACAGATCACTTGCCTTTTCTTTTGAGGATTGTGGAATTGCACACTCTGTGTTTATAGTGTAGCTGCCGTGTAAATATAGAATATATAGAAAAATACTGCTTAGGCCTTATGCCACGTTTGTGTTTGTGACTTTTTTCCTTTAAAGGAATCACTTGTGATTTATGGCAATATTATAATAAACTAAGACAAAATATTGTCTTCTGTAAGGAATACGTGCTTTGCAATAAGTGAATGACCCAAGCAGTTAGATAATGCACAAGGTCCACTATACAAAGTTCTGTGCTGGTTCTTGGAATTATGTTCAGATAACTGCAGGGCCATTTTCTCAGTATCTCTAGCAATTGCTTGTTTTTTCAGAGAAGACACTGTTCTTTCTTAACCATTTAGGGGAAAGTCTTCCACAGGGCATATTTGTACTGAATAGCAAAGACAGCTCTTTCAGAGGATCTGGAAATACCAAATAAAAAAGAATATTATCCAGAACATGGTGGCTTGTCTGGCAGTGCTTTAGATATCTGCTGAGAGTGTGAGTACTGAGCGTCCAGTTTGCATATTTAATCTGCCAGAATGTAACTTAATTGTAACTTACTGCTTTCTTCATAGCTTTCAATAATAGAAGGTGCTGAAAACTCTACTAAATTGGGTGCTTTTCACATAGATTTCCTGTCTGGTCCTGTCACTGACATGACCTAGATTCATTATTTCATACTCACTCTTATGGCCTTGGGCACAGATTTAAAGCCACAGTCATGGGGTCTAATGAGGCATGAAAACATGGGAAAATACCATGGAAAAATTAACCAAATTGTCCACAAGGTCAATTCTGCTTTATTATTTTTGTAGCTGTTTTGTATTCTATTCTATTTTTTTGGCAGCAATCTTTCATAATCAGGATCATTCCATAATTTTTTTGATACAGGATTATCAGGTTATAGAGTTTTTAGTATTGTGGTGAACTATTTTGGATTTGTGTAAAAAGGAACTTTGAATGCTAATCATGCTCAATAGATATTCCCAACAGAATAATAACTGCTCAAAACATCCTAAAGGAAAGACATTTTGCCATGAATATTTCAATAATTTTTTCAGACCTCCATGAAAATAATGCATCTCAATGAAATAAGGGCATAGACTGCTTTTTAATATCCCGTGACTGAAACCATGACATATCCCAAATAGGTTTCTGTAATTGTGAAGTTAGGTTGTGCTGATAGTTGGTCATGAGGGACAAACTCATAGGGATATGTGCTAGAAGATCCCTTATCAAATCTAGGGCTAATTAGTTAGTTGCTGGCCTAAAATGTAAAGAAGAATTATTAAACCAAAAAGAATAGAAGCAGCTGATATTTCAAACCTAGTAACAAAG